AGCTTAAAAAGTTCAAATATAACGTGCATTAATAGAGAGTGGAAGTAGGATCATGTTAATGTGAGAACCAGCACGTAATGAGCTTGTCTGCATTCCATTATCTTTCATCTCGTTCTTGGAGGACGGTATCACGGCAACAGGTTTGTTTAGGGCAGCCTTGGTATCAGCAGGACTTGGACTGCTTGGCTCTGTTTGGAGTAACTTAGGCTGCTGTGAAAAAATCCAAGGCATGCTAAAAACATAATATACAGGAGCCTGGCATCCCTAAGAGAGAGTCTCACTGTCTGTTGCTCTCTGCAGGTAGCCATGTTTGGAAGTGCTGACAAACAGAGAAGAAAGACAGAAAGCATGGGGCTGCTGGCTCCTCGCCAAAGTGTCACATCCTCTTCATATTTGGGCTCCAACTATGGTCACCTTTCATAAGCAGGCTTGACTGTGTGCTTTCGGAGTAAACTTAAGCACTTGTAATAATAGCTATTAGTGAATTGGATTGATTTCCATGCTTTACATGAAATGTTGGAGCTTGTAAACTAAACAAAACATACTGAGTATGTGTGTGCTGCCAATATATGGTCAAACTTAAGTGGAGGATAACAGCTCCTACTCATGAACCTAATAATAAAACTATTAATCAAACCTATTTTGACTTAGTGTTAAATTTTACAGCGCTCCAGAGGTCTCTGAAGTTGGTTATCCTCGATGACTTCAGGGCAGAAACAGAGCCGAGCATGCCTCTGTTTTCTGTCTGATAATAATAATAATACTTTATATCAAGTAGTATAATTAAGAAAAGAGTAGTTTCAGGCTTTCTGTTTTTCATCAGCTGTGCAAACAAACAAGAGTAAATCTGGCATGACGGTATGTTACTAAATTGTCCTCATTATATGATTTGACTTTATTATACGTATTTGCATCACTTTTGTATTTCAGCCAAATTCACATTATATCAACCCTACTTATTTAATTCCACATTACACAGCGGATTCAGTACCCCTTACTTTTTCCACACTTTACTGTGACGGAAATTATTTTTAAAAAGGGCTACAATCTACACTAAATAACCCCTAATGGCAGGGAAAACATATTATTAGACATTTTTGCAAATTTATTGAAAATAAATTGCTAAAATGTCTCATTTACAAAAGTACTTGGATCTTTTGCTTTAACAAAGTGCGGTGAGGTGATCCTGGTGGTTTTAGGTATCCTCAAGATGTGTCTTGAACTTCTTGGGTTCATAAGGAGACACATCCTGCACGGGACAAAAGCTGAGCCAAGATACACACCTAAACTATGAAACTGTCGCAGTGATTATGATGAAGGTGTAACACCATTTCTCAAGCTTTCAATGTTCCTCGGGCATTGTTAAATTAAAGAAAACTCTTCATATTGTTGTCAATCAAGTTAAACTCACTAACCAAGCAAGAAGGTCCTTGGTTAAGGGTGTTACAGTTTCTATCTTCATAATTGCTGCCTCGTGTTACACCTCATCCACCCACCAAAGCCCTTCCTGGTTCCAGCTTCCTAGTCTTCACACTCATCTTGTCCTTATTCTTTGCTAGATAGTGACTCACACACATATGACCTTGGTTCTTGTTGCTGTTCTGCTATTGTTGTCCGATTTCTGCCTGTCTACCTGTAGGATCATGGTTCAAGGGTGGTGACCAAGAAGCCAGCAGTCCCCAGTGTTGACCAAGCTATTAGGAGACAGTAATTAGCTAAGCCAGCAGATAAATGTGACAAAAGGTAAAAGTAGTTTACTCAATTCTAAGCTATTGTTTTTATTTTTACCTATTTAATTGTATTCAGACACATAGTGTAGGTAGCTGTTGACAAGCCGGTAGCTGGTGTTTGCACTAAGAATAGTTGGCATCATGTCCTGATCCTACGTTGTATTTCAGACCGCACTGAAAGCTCCGCTGTGCTTGATGCTTCCGAAATGCTGTAAATTGTAGATCGTGTTAATGCTACCGGCTGATATATTTGCTCAGCAAAACACTTCTTGCATATTTATGTTTGTTACCTTAGGATGTATGTGTAGATGTGAGTGATGAGTGCGTCTGGATGATTGTATTCTGTAATCAGGTTAATCACGGCATTTGGTAGAGACACAAAGAACTAAGAATTTCATTGCACTGATAGCTGACAGCACAATTACCACGATGCTAAGGAGAAATGTAGCTAACCTAGAAGTACTGTTACTTGTAGCCACGCTACTGCCCAGCACTGACAGTCACTCCAATAGTTTTAGAAGTCCTCTGCAGAGATGGGAGAACCTGCTAGAAGGACGACCATCTCAGCCGTGCTTAATCGATCAGACCGTTATCGTACAGCAACAAGATGGAAGTCACTCTGAGTAGAAGGCAGACAGCAACGCCTGGGGCAGGACAAAGAAAACTGAAAACTGCCGCTTCTTGAAAGGCCGCTTGAGGCTTGAAGCTGGAAGCTGGCTCCAAAGGTGAATGAATCCCCATGGATCCCCACATTACAGCCTGATCCAGAAAAGGTTTTATTCTCTATAGCTGACTTTCCTGTTCATAACAACTGTACAGGGATGAATTTTCACCAGGGCTAGAGCCACCAACTGAGCTTTAAAACTGCTGTTCAGGAAGTATATGGGTGAAGTCATGGAGAGTTTGTTCATCTTTATATACAGTTAATGGTAAAAGTTTGGAATATGCCCAAAATAATTTAAAGGATTCTTAGACCATAAGAAAAAGATTTCCTGGGCTGATGAAACAACATTTAACGTCTTTGTACAGTCTGGTTAACACAGGCACTGCTGCGTTATCTGGCTACTACCAACTGTGAAGCATGGTGGTGGCAGCATCATGCAATGGAGGTGCTTCTCAGTAAAAGGGACAGGGACATGTTTTTTTAGAACTGAGGGAAGGATGAATGAGAAAAAGTTCCACTTTGCGCCAACATCTTCTTTCTTGAAGGCTGCAGCAACAGAGAGGTTCAGAAAAAACCTACTAACTGTTACTTTTACAAATTTTGTGACCAATCAAGTTAGCATCTCTCAAAATTTCTTCTGAATATGAGTAGTCTGATCAAATTGACCATCAAATGTGTTTATAGTTGATTCAAATTGTCCCACTGGAAAATGGAGTCAGTCATCAAGGGAGAAGGAAGTGCAGGGAAGTGGGCACAATATTATCTAAATAAAGGGGATAATTGAGCTAATTTTCAGACATGTGCAAGTACCACAGATTGAATAACAAATGTACAGGACCTCACTGCTCTCCCTCCTCCTCATAGCTGACCAATCACGGCTTGAAGTGGGCCATAAATTAACAGACAGTGGAGGACACAGATACCCCGTATCCGATGTCTGAAAGGTGAAGGGGTTTCGGAAGCTGTCTGATCGGACAGACCATAAATCCATCATAAGTCACTTTATAAGTATGTCTTATTGCTCCCTGGAAGCAAAGACTTTTTCTTTTACTGTTCAGTACTTCAAAAGTTTTCGCTTTGTCTTTCTTACAGGTTTGCTAAATATGGGCCCTTGTTTCCTTTTGTCTTAAGGAAGCTGCACACAGAGGGATTTGCTTAAAGCCGTCACCCAATGAGTCAGTCACTAAGGTAGAGGAATCTCATAATTAAGGCCTCATTAAAGCTACACAGCCCAACTATGTTGGTTTACAGGGCAGACAGGAACCTCAGAGATCCACAATGGGGCCTTTCATAATACCTCACTTCTCTGAGGGAAAGGAGAAAGAGCAGTTGCTCTTAGCATTTGGGCAGATGTAATTGCAATCACTCAGCTTGTCTGATGCTGATAATGGGGCGATGGGAAATTCCTGTCAGAGTCGTGGCGCAGGGTGGTTTCGCAACCACTTTGGCAGGCTCCATGTTCCACTGCAGGGCAGCGAATGCGTTACGGCATGCTCACATAGCTGTCATTAAACACATTTGAGGAAAAAAAACATAAGACAATCAAAACTCACAAGTGTGCCATTCTCCTGCTTCTTGAGCAATGAAAAGACAAATATTATATTGTCTGTCATCCCTGCACAGTTAAACACGCTGAAAGATTGCAGCTTATGAAAAAATGGAAAGTGAATATGCTCTTGCAATCCCCTAATACACTCTATAAATTCTGGCTGTGCTATTTTCAACATCTTTATTTTCCTGTCATTTATCTTGACTGGTAGTTTATGTGAAAATTAAACTGTGGGGAAATGTTGGTCAGTTCATTTATACATAAAAATGTAATGTTTGTTTTCCAAATTTCGGGTGTGCTTTTCAGCCAGCAGCCTATTCCTGTCTGAAATGTGTGCTACAGTAGGTGGCTGAAATAGCACGTGGGTGCGACGTTCTTGTGGTTGGTCCTCGGGTACAGTATGTGACACTTGGCATCTCAGCAATGCTTCCATGAGAAGCCTCTATTAGAAGGCATTCATGCAATGATGCTAACAAGCTCATTTTACTGGCTGGACAAGCATTCGTGCCATTAAGTCTAAGACCTTATTAGTGCCTTGTGAGACCACCCAGGAAACACTGTACTGATATTAAAGCTTTTTAATAATCACCACAAGAGCAGCAATAAAGACCCGATTTATCAGGATTGAGATGTGTCTTTAGGTATCCCAGCTATCCAGTTTTAATTAAGCTAGAAATTTGAGCAACATCAGCAAAAGGAACACATGATCCTGAGTGTCATGCAGATTCTCAGTTCAAACACCAAGAAATTTCAGCAACATTTTACAAGTAACTGCAGTCGTGGATTTACTTGGCAGCCTGCCAGCTAAGGTATTTGAGGTATTTTGGGCATTTTACAATTTAGATGATGCCACAGACACATAAAAAGCTTTGCTGCACTGCTTTCATGAATAAGTAAGATTCAAATAGAAAATACCTTCTGACAGTGATTAAGCAAATCGAAGATATTTATAATTTCTACCCTCTAAGCTTCTGATTACTGTAACGTAGCATAATAAGGTGTGTGAATGAACACACATCACTGTTATCATCATTATTATGTGCAGAGACCAAATGGCAACACTTTTAAAGCTTTTAATTTCAAATTACAGTTATAAAAAATGGTAAAGGTGTCATTTTAATCTGTGGTTTAACAGTCCACGCAAGTGTAAGTCAACACAGGACTGATACATTTTGCCATAAACTGCGGTTACATTTTAAACATAAATATCAAAAGTCAGTGCTCTCCAATGTTACTGTTGCATCAGATAAGATAAATTACAAACATCTGTATGTAAAGAAAGTCATAAAATACAATAAAAAATGAACAGTATATAGGTGATAACTATAAAACAAACAGGACTGCAAATGTAATCTTAGGTCTTGGATTTTTCTGATGCACTGAAAGAAAATGAAAGCTGCTTTCGAGCACACACCCCTTCTGTCAAGCTGAATCTAATTTAATGTGTCAATCTCGTGTGTGTTTTCTTAAAGTCAACAACAATCTTACCAAGTCAGACCTTGTTAAACTAGACAGGTATTAACAATGAACAAGATGATAACATATTAGCATAGGACTTCTTTGATGTCTATCAATGATACAGCGCCGAATGAGGCAACATTATCCTAAACATCATTCAGAAGCAACAGATCTGACTTTTTTTTTTTAATTTAAAAATTAAAATCATAGCAGGAATATTTTGTAAAAATGCCTGGAAATTGTAGCTTACTGTACTGTCTAGTTTCACGTTAGATAAATATTGTTGGTCTCTGCAACAGTCTTGAACTGTCTGAAAAAAGCAGTCATTTTCATTAATCTAAAAGCCAATAATGCTTGACGAGTCTTGCCCAGCCAGATCATTCTGCAGAAAAGAATAGTCTGACTGTTACAGAGGAAGAAACGCTCTAGCTAGTTTGGAATTCTTTCAACCAGTCACAATTGTATTGTGTGGAGCTAAGTAAAGGATCAGGGACACTGCAAAGTAGTTATGGGGGAACGGTTTTGGTAGAACGCTTGCACGCAGTTAGAAGAGCACTGTTATTAAAATGACTAATTCACAAAAAATCCATTGGGCTGCTGCACTGCACAGTCAAAATCCTCAGCAAAACTTTACATTTTTAGTGTGGCAGGATGTTGGCTGGTGGTTGGTGATTCTGACTAACGTCTGACTGATGCAAAAAGATCTCTTTAACAGCTCAACGAATTTTACTTCTAAAAAGTCTACAGTCATGCTAGTGGCTTCATAGGTCTTGTCCACACATACACGGGTATTTTAGCATTTTCTTTGCATTTCGGCTTTCCATCCACATGCAAACAGTCTTCAGTCACTGAGTGTGAACCTTGTGGTAAACTCCTTTCAGAGTGAAGATTTTCAGACAATATTGGAGAAAACAATGACACAGACACCCACATCTGCTTTCTGATGAGGTCTTATCAGTCACTACATGTCCTTCCCTGATTGGCCACGCCCCTTATCACGTGACTCTGAAACTAAACAATCAACCCTCTGCTTCATGTTGACACTGGCATGAGCATGCCCCAGGTACAGGTCATAGGACATGCATTTTCAGCCGTGTTAGTATGGGGAAAGATTATTTCTAAAACCATACTAAATAGTCCTCTGTTTGGAGGTTGCTTTCATTTTCAAAAGTCTTTTTAAAATAAAAACATATTGGTGTGATAATAACCTCAGGCACAGTGTTGCTTAGCGCTATATGCTATTATCATCATGCAAACTTGTGCACAGTGATGATGCTAAGATACTGATGTTTAGCATGTTTTGTTTAGTACAATGTTCACCATTTTAGTTTAGCATGTTAGCATTCATTAGCATTTGCTGATTACCATTGAACACAAAGTACAGCTGAAGTATTGGACAAATTAAAAATCTGACCTGAAAATATAAGGGGTCATGAATGATACTACATTTTATTCTGTGGTGAACATGGAAATGTAACCAATGCAATCAGTCCAGTACTTGATGAGATATTTCATTTAAAACCCACAAATATGTCAATATCAGATGGTGGCAGCAGAGAAAAAGTCTTCAAAGTCAGTCACGTTCTTGGTCTCGGGACCATGAATGTTTGTACAAAATTTAATGACAATCCATCCCATAGAGTCTAAGATATTTCAGTCTGCACTAATGCTAAAATAGCTAAAACTGATAACAGTTACAAGATCGCGTGAGGCTGTATTCTGTCTGTTGAGCATATTTCAAAGGTCCAGTGTACTCACAGAGTCTATGTACCATATAACATATATAAAAGTGAATTTTAATCCAAAAAAATTATAGTTCAAGAGTGTTTACACAACAGATATAATAGACAAAAATAATGATATGTCAATATACATTAAATGCACAAATGTACTATTTCTTGTTTCCCAGCTTCTCCAAAGACTACAGAGAACATTAGAAAACTGCTTGTTTTACTGCAAAGGTCTTCCAACAACCATGAAAAATATACTGTAACAAACATATTCATCTGTTTTATTTTCAGGTTATTTTATTGGTGAAGCAACATGCATCCAAGTTCCTGGGGGAAGTGGCATTGCACTGTGAAAAACAAACTCAGTCCTTGAGTCCTTCACACTGTCCTTTCACCATCTGACAAGCAGCCAAGTCAGCGTTAGCCTTACTTCATTCCTTCAAAACTCCCCTGTGGTTTGGTCCTGTGTGATGGTGCTCATGAGCGGTCCATTGAAAGAAACAAAATGGCAGCAGTGGACGGCCGGGAGGATGCCCTGCTAATGTGTAAGGCTATACACCAAGTAGCATGCCCATGAAGTCGGAACCATTCTGTATTGTAATGGAAGCACCAGCTGCGTTATCCACAAATATGGAAGTGTACTGCCCAGCCTGCAGACGAAAACATACACCGGCATTAAAAGATTGCTCATTTCTTTATATTTTACGCTTGTGCACCTCTGAGCTCACCTGTAGCTCCAGCAGCCCGTGGACACTGACGGTGAATATCTTGCTGTTACTTTCTAACCCAACAATCATCTCCAGTGAACTGCAATCATAAAAAAAAAAAAAACATTTCTGAACAAACACTGTGTTTTCAAACATGTCAAAGTTGTACTCGTCAAGATCTTATTAAGTTCAACCAAGTGTAAAATGTCTCATATTAAATAGATAGTCAGACATTTAAGAAATATGCAGGTTTGCTTTCTTGCCAAGAGTTGGAGAAGAGGATCAAGGAGGATTTTTCCTTGACATGTTTTCTGCAAGGATATACAGAGAGACAATGTAATATTGTACCTACCTACCCACTGGCATCTGTGTTTTTGTGACAAGTAGCCACTGCACATTTGTAACCCAAAAACTTGAGAAGAAAAGAAAACATCGCATTCTTTTGGTCAGCAGCTGGGATGGTCCAACCTTCATGTGGAGGATCATTGCTGTGTGTCTGCAGCTACCATCAAGAGAACAAACAGTAGTTCTTTTTTTTTTTTTTACAGTGACGGAGTCTGCATTTTCCTGACCAGACAAAGCACATTAGGTTAGGTGTTCCCCAGGAGCATGTTTCTTGTTTTCTTCAACGTTCACATGGTTGTGCACCACAAATTTGTCCCTCAGGGTCAGACTGTCAAGGCAGAGTTCTGCTGTAACGTAGTCAGGTGTCTGAGGGAAACAACCTGAACTATGGCACGACGCATGTGGGTGCTCCAATGTGTTGTGCACATGTCACATTGCTCTGCTTTTTTAGCCACAATTGTACAATCGTCGCTCTCCACCCGCCCTGCTTGCTAGATTTGGCTCCTTGTAACTTCTTCCGCTTCATATTCAGTTGAAGAGTTGCCATTTTGTCATTGCTTGGGAGATTAAACGCTCATCACAAATAGTGCTTGACATATTTACATTACAGGACTTTAGGGAGAGGAGTTACAAGTGCACCAGAAGCCCTGGGAGCACTGTGTTGCTTTAAGGGGACTTAGTCTGAAGGGGATGGCATCCAGCTTTAAATTAAGTATGCTTTTTCACTGATAAAGGCACAGTGTGGTATGTTTTGATCACCCCTTGTCATTTTCTTGCATAAGTCATGGTGCGCAGACTTTCCAGTTAGTTTTGAGGATAACTGCCACTGTCTTGTTTATAAGCTAAATCCGGCTACTACTAACTAAAATACTTGAAGACAATTTAAAACAATCAGCCTTAAAAGTTGAATTTTGAGCTTTTAAGGTGCTTAGAAGTGAGTTTTGTTACTTCAGACAGAGCAAGGCTAGTCATTTCCCCCTATTTCCAGTCTGTATGCTAAGCTAAGATAGCCGGCAGCTGGCAGTGGCATTACATTCAGCGTACATATTCAGTGTGTGATACTGATCTCCTCATTTAAATCTTGGCAAGAAAATGAATGTTTCCCAAAAATCCCACTTTTCCTTCAGTGATTCAGTTCCCCTCAGCGTCTGCAGAGATGGTTGTAACATCGCTGCAGCCTTTAACCACACATTGAGAGCACTGGCTCCCGTTAAGTGGAAAATGCTACATTTTTATGGCGAATCAATCATGTTTGTCTTCGCTCCGACTGCCATCACAATGAGCCTCATTTCACATTCTCTGCATTTTCATGTGTGGGAGGGCGAGACTGGCTGGGGCTTTGGCTCGAAAAAAGCAAAAAGCCAAGCACTCTTTTGGGTTAAGTAACCCATCATAATAATATTATTTATACATTCCCCTCATTGTACCACACTAGAAGGGAGGCTGTGGAGCTCTGTACAGTCCGGGGGAGACTTTAGGGAGCAATTCATTTCAGCAATTTTCCCTGACTTTATGTAAATAGAAATTTTGAAATACTGGAATGAACAGATTCGTTTTGTATTTGTAATGTTTTGCCATGTAGGTCCACTGTATCAGATACGTCATTATCAGCCTCCCTCATTCCAAACAAGGGCATTTTACTGCAGAGCTGTTATATGTAACAGGCTGCCTGAAGTGTCAAAGGTGAGTCTATAAAGATTAGTTAGGCGACAGGGACGAGGGCTCTAAATGAGAGGACATTTCCTTTAAAGACGTGCTCTGCTTTTATACAGGAAATGCCAAACTGGTTCCATACAAAGTGTAACAGACAACACCTTTAACAGCTCATAAATTCTGGTGAAAGTTAAGGCTGCATTAAACACCAATAAAATATCACCGCTATAAGGGAAAAGTAAACAAGCTGTCAAAACAAGAATGTCAAGAATGCAAAGTGTGGTTGTTGCAGTCAGATTAATGACTTCTCAAGATCATTTTTATTAACTCTTATTGGTGATCGGTGGGGGTTTCAGCCAGCAGCACAACATAACAAATGCAAACCACATGGTTACCATGGTTTTGAGTGGGTTGTATATGATTTTGATTCAGGGGATGCGTTTGCAGGAGTTTCATCTCCACCATTATTAACAGTCTTATAGAATACCTACGTGTATCTGTGGCAGAGGGATTCGATGCAGATCAACACCCGAACGTTGTCCCTGGCCTTCAGCTGACTCTTGCTCCTTTTCACCTCGTTGTGATCTGTAATCACATAAAGCCCACAAATATAATGGCTCACCAAAACATATGTTTCCTTTTGAATGTCAACAATCAATGTCAGCAAGATTTTAGTTTAATCAAACCCCATTTTTAATACTATTCATGTTTTTCAGCAATAGGCATTTAGTGTAAATGTATTCTGCAGTGACCTTCTTATATAGAAAACAGGTAAAGTATTGCATTTGCCCGCAAAAAGATTCAAATTACCTTTTACCTGTGAGAAAACAATCAGTAGTGCAGCACAGCCAAGTACGGCAAATATTCTACTTTTTACTCCATTGCATTTATTTCAAAATTTTAGTTAATTCAATTTAATTCAATTCAGTTCTGTTTATATAGCGCAAACTCACAACATGTCATCTCACAGTGAATTTATTATTACTAGTATCATAATTAATAGTTACCTTTAAATATTTAGATTAATAATAAAGAAAATATCAACCTCACTATTTACAGTTAATATATATAATATGTATAATTGTAAGTATTTCCCACTACTGCTACTCATTCATATTAAAACTGTAAAACTGACCCACAGGCTGGCTTTTATTGTGAGACGTTTACTGGAAATGTAATGTATTTATTACCAGCATTTGAGCTGATGGCAATTATTCATCAAAAAACCCATCTACAACACAAAGACAGTGGCCAATTTCTGCATTTGACAGAGGTTCTGTTTATACATATAGCAAGAACTCATGGTACCGGAAGGACAAGCCACAGTGATCTGTTGCTCAAAGAGCTGCAGCTCCTCAATGCAAGGTAACCATCTCCTGTTTGTAGTATGATGAATTTTTATTAAACAAATGGAGTCTGTTTCGTTGCACTATAAACTTTTACTCCAATTGTTCATCTTATCGTATGTCTGATTAATCAGATTTCTGTGATCTGTAGCAGTAAAGCATATTTGCTGTTGTAACCATCATTACTGCAGATTACAATAGTCTTAAATTGATAGTGAACACAATTTAGCAGAAGCAAAGTGTTCACTGACTATCTTAGGCAATGCTTGTCACAAAACTCTTTATACTAATAAGACTGACAGCAGGCTAAGTTGACCAGTTTGCCTGATTCTGACCTTTTTATCCCATTAAATAGTCTGTATCAAATGTTATCACACTTATAGATATCCCCAGTGGTCACTATACTGCACATATTAGTAGGCTAGAAGGCATGTTATGGTATCCACTATCGTAATCATTGATAAACAGACAGTAACCAAGGTAATGTAGATAACATCGGGCAGCATTGTAAATAACTGCATAGAACATCTTTGGTGAAATAGTCACCATGGAAACCGACAAAACTGAGCTTTGTAACGTGGTCAACATAACAAAAGGTTGCGTTATAACACAAACCAAAATCTTTTCCTAAACCTAACCAAACAGTGAGTAAAAATGCAAGTAAACAGCGATTGAAAACGAAAGACAAAATGTTAAGTTCAACGATTGTAGAACATAATGGTCACAGATGGGATTGAAACTCCACTTTTCTGCCATTTGTTTGTTCATTGTAAGTCAGAACACAGCTATATGTTGGCACTACCACCATTAAAAGAGGATATAATTGTATACTCAGTTATCAAGCATACGCATAAACACCTTTAACTCCTATGTGGTTGGATCATTAGTAAGAAGGGCCTGTAAGGCTTCGGTATATGTATGAGAGTTACCAATGTGGACGTTAGCAGAGAACTGGTAGATCCCAGTGATGGGAGCTGTGAACCTCCCTGTTGACTGGTCCATTCCTGAGCCTCTGAGGAAGGCTCCTTTAGCTGGTGGCTGAAAGCAAAGGAAAACTGAATTAATGATGGCAACAAGGAATCTGTCCCTCCTTTGAAATGAATGAAATGAAAAAAATAAAAAACTTTATTTATCCCAGAAGGGAAATTCAATATAAATCTTTGAGACCTCAAAATAAAGGCTCAGCTGCAGAGTCTTACCTCAGGACACTGTAGCAGGACTAATCCTAAAGTCATAGTCAAACCACCAAATATAGACTCAAGAACTTTTGCCAATATCATTGTGCAGTTAAATCACTGCATGTAAACCTGATCAGTCCTGATGGACTTTGATCAGTTAGTTTGCCCTGGTGACCAACAGCAAGCCATCTTGGCAAATGGACAAAATGGAGAGTCAAAATGAAGGAAACTAGTGTGGCTTATTAGCAGCATTTTACCATTAACTTTTATTTAGCCTCATTTGAGCTGAAACTTCAGTAAAGAAAAAGAATAGTTGAACATAAGCAGTTATTGTCCCCTTAGTGGGGAGACATAACTAGCCTGATAGTTCACAAGCCTCGAGAGCTTTGTTTCCCCTTTATGCACAACCGACAAGGACAAATTTTATGAAACTTGCTGAGAAAGAGGAGCATGCGCAAAGGAAGAATGCATTAATTTTTGTTGCGGCTCTGCATCACTTTCTTTAAAATTGCGAGATAGGACATTGGACTTGGTGGAGGACTTCGGTTTCTCTGAGTGGCCTTCTCGCTGAACCATGTGTTTTATGCAGCTGTATAGATGAATTTTGTTATTCCACTTGATTGTGTTACCAAGCACAGGGCAAGTTCTATATACAGTCACAGGAATTGTTTGTACGAGCAAGAAAACTGGTATCCGTCAATGTAGAACATGCAGAACCTGTAATGAACAATGATAACGAAAATCCTGGTAGGCCTAAGGCACAGCTACAATAAGTGTTTCTAACCATGTGCACATTTTAATGAACAGGAACAGATTGCATCCTATGTGTAGAAATGAGCATAAACTGTGTTTATGCCAGACTGGTAATGGCTGGCTTTAATCCTCTACGTCCCCGTGTCCTTAAATTGTGTGCCTCTTTATTTCTGACTCCGCATAAACTTTAAAACATAACTTTCCAAAGCCATAGTAACACGTCTTCACGAACATAGTGTTGCTTAATCCTCCCTTCTCCAGCCTTGTCAGCCCATCCTAACAGGGCATAGTTCTTCCACTACAGCATGCTGTTTCAAACAGTGTCTATTTCTGTCCTCTCCACACTTTATTCCAAGTCAGAGACAGAGTGCCTTTTGTATGCCGCCCATGATGTGTAGAATTGAAAAAGTAGATATTTTTGACCAAAGAGGCAGACTGAGTCTCAGAGTGGCACTGCAGGCTTTGCCAGTGCCAGTTACCAGTGAGGGGATGATCCGCTCATAATTCTCCCACATGCAGCGACATAAGCAACGATTACCAAACACTCTCAAAGACTGCTAAGACAAAGATACAAAGCACGTAACCATGCAGAGGAGGATTAGCAGAAACTTTACTTTTTTAGCCTCAAATATGGAGCAAAACTGAACCAATTCATAAACATTTGCATAGTTTTAAACAAACTTACTGTCTGAAAGTTCTGGAGCTCCACCAGAGTCTTCTTGTCCACCACCACAGGTCCCTTGAGCTTGCAGTGGAAAGCCTCTTCTATTCGGCGATAGGAGGTCATCCCCTCCAGGGTGAGGAGGGCTGTAGGTAACTGGCTGGGGCTGGTTTGTCTGTCAAGCGCTGCTGCTCTCCTTTCTGTAGCCTCTGGCAAAAACACATCCAGATTATTACACTCCAGAATGACTTCAGGGAAATTTTCTAACTATTCTGTCATGATGATGCAGTAAAAACACAAAATAGACACATAATTGTGCATATTCAAATGTAGGTCTTCTTTTCGAAATTAACAAAAGATCAACTTTGTAGTTTAAAGAGGAGCTGAAATGTGCCAGTGCTGAAAAAAAATCAACATGCTGCTACCTTTAATCATCTCTTTGAACTCCTGGAGAAGAACCTCCTGGGTCACTTCAGCTCCAGGAGAGCCAGGAGGTCCCTGTGGACCAGGAGGACCAGGAGGACCAGGTGGGCCTGGCTAATAGAAGACAGATGTATAAAACATTGTCATGCATCAAACCTGATCTGAAAATCAATTACTGTGATCTACATATCATGAGTAAAAGTACAAGTTTTTGAAAAACTGCAGGTTACCAGGGGCCGTTTGCGTTTGCGACACTTTCCAGGGAAGTTTCCAACTGGTCTTTTAACAAAATCCATCCATGACCCCAGTGGATCCACCCTCTGGTGATCAGAAATCTGCAGTACAAAAGAATACCTCATAAAAATATGGGGCCAATATGAGTATTAAAGGGCTCAAATTATACTTTGTGGGTTACCCCTTCTCTGAAGTGTGTTGAAAAGGTCTGCTAAGTAAAAAAAAAAAAAAAAAAAAAAAAAAAAAAAAAAAGTTGATGCCAAAGGGATTTATTCTCTCCAACAGGAACATGTTTTTGGAACTTTTTCTTCCTTTACCTATTTATATCACCATGTAACACATTACAGCTGTTTAGTAGCTAGTTTATCCCTTAAACAAAGAATGAGCAGCTTTCGCGCAGTTTGAAAGTTATTTCCGCGCTAGACCCGTCTCTGATTGAGCTACATCCCTCTGCCTTGGCTCAGAGGTGTGGGAATATAGAACATAACCAATGTTGCCTATCATGTATCTGGTTAGGTGACCAATCAGAGCAGACTGTGCTTTTTAAGTAGGACGTCTTAACAAAAGATGAGCTAAAACACAGCGGCTGAAAAGAGGTGCTGCAACAATGTACAGTATGACCAAAAAGAATGTTTCTGATCTTTAAATTTTGTAAACATATGGTAGTAGATCCCCCAAACTAAAATTAGAAACCTATTAATGTGCATAATAGGGTCATTTAAAGCTGGAGTGCGAAACTGTTACATATAAACGAACATCTGTTCCGCTCAAGCCCTTGCCAAACAAGTTCACACAATACTTACTTAGCCTGCCAGCCACAGGTAAATCTCTCTGTATTTTGCAGTTTTAAATCTGATGTCAGTGTCGACATTCTGGCACTTGCACACCGGTAGTGATGTGTTTTATGTCAACTAGACCAGACGAGTTTGGCAGAAGTGAAGAAGGGAGCAACCGTTGCGATGCAGGTAGGAATACTTCAGGAAAAAAAAAAATATATAAAACTGTCTGTGAAAAGTTTCTGATGCTCCAAAAGAAGGATTACAGTCTGAAAAAAGCATTTCATAAGCAAGCAATATTTGTGTAATTACTCTTACTGGCAGAAGGGGGAGACAAAAGTTGTGCAGCTTTACCAAATACCTAAATTATGGTATAATCCAGAACAATGTGAAGTGATGTCAGGCAGCCTTATATCAACCAGAGAGCACAGCTGTTTTATAAACCTGTAAAGAAAGTTACTACATAATTATGTATTTCATGTGGTTATGCAGTTTTTCACAGTGGGATATGAAGCAAAGGGCCGTACTTGCTAAGTCGAATGTGCCATTATTTGTTCCTTTAAACCATCTTTGGAAAAGCCTGCCCTAAGATACAATTAAATGGAGCCAGACACCACCGAAGGTCAAACAGGGAAACTTCTTTCCTTCTGTCTCCCCTCCCTGGTCAACTGCAAGGCTTCTCAATGTGCCATCAGTCACCATTCTCCACTGAAAGATTCATTTTGTGCTTATTTTTTCATTCCAGATAATTCACTCAGGTGCCACGTCATTTCTTGTTTGCCCAACAGGCTCGGATGAATGTAAACAAACCTTGTCAAGTTATTTTTTACAGCACATGAAAATTTCCATGAGCACCCTGGTGAAAAATGAGTCTGCCCGTCTATGTGTGATTCTGTGGACCGCAGGCCTCAATTACTGTAGTTTATAACAACATGTCAAAGTGGCCAACACTTTCTCCCTCACTCGAAGACATACTAGTGTTTTCTTCTATTAATCCTGCTCGTTTGACTAACGCAATGATGGAAAATTTAATAAGCAAGATAACAGATGTATATACAGCATGTATACAAGGCTGAGGTATGTTTTAGATTGTGTCTGTTTTCTAGTCGTGTTGAGAAATAACTCATTTATGATAAATTACTGTATAGGAGTCTGGGATCTGCTCAGCAGATAAGAAAGCAAGAAGGGCTCTGGAAGCAGCATTTTTAAGCGTAGCGCTACAACTGGCTTGTTTTCATTTTGGTAAAATGTGAGTCTGAATGAATTCCAATTACAGCAAGCTCAAATCTTACCCTAACCCTTCCCCAAATGTCAAGAGCCTTCAGTTGAGATAGAAGAGGAGATAAAGACGAGGCATGGAGGTGAGCTGTCTGAAATGGAATTTGTTTAGGTTTGGCAGCAGGACACGGATCACTTATCTGCTAAACCAACATGCCCCTTTCTTCACTGTTAAAGACTTGCCTCTTGTTCCACCGCAACAAAGTAACTCCTTGTTTGTCTTTTCAATATGCTGGAATAAAACTCAGCTTTTTCTGTTTGGGATTTGCAGCACCCTCTCTCCCTCTCTGGCTTTCTCTTCTCTCTGACAGCAGACAAAATAAACAACTTAACAAGCGCTGCGCTGGCTGCATGTCGGATCACTCTGTGTTTTTGTTGTGATTTTGAGGCTTGGAAACAGATAAAAGCAAGCCTGATTTGGTCAAGAGTACTTTTACACCACTCAATACTGTTTCCAAAGGACTAGAGGCCTGCTGGATAAACTGCTTTTTCCTGTGCCATGTCAATTTTTGTTATTTGTTAGCGTACACTGCACAGACTGCAGATCTAACCAAGTGTAATAATCCCGTATTTAGTTTTTGTTTTTTTTTTCCAAATCTAGTTAGTGTTGTTTTTAGAAAAAAGAGGAATATCTTATCATTAGAGTAAATGGTAAATTGCCTTGTCTTGATAAGACCCTTTATCTTTTTTTAAACTATTCTTAACTAGCTAGAAGGGACATGTCTGTCTATGTCTTCTTGTGCATTAACTAGGTTTTAGTAGATTGCTTAAAATGAGTCATTTTGAGTCATTTGATCTGACAGCCTGAGACAGCTTATCAAGCAAAATTCACTTAGTGCACTGGCAGCCAAATTTGTTTGTTCTAAATGCATATATGCCGTTATCTAGAAGATTTAGGCTTAAATTTGAAAGGGCATTTTCGTAGTGCACCAGTTCTTTAAGCTTTAAAAAGAAAATAATGCTGAAATGTAGATGAAACGACCGGGTTAGGGTTAGGGTTAGGGTTAGATCGATACCACGATCATATCTGTCAACCAAACATGCTAAGGCCAGTAGCAGGTTAGCTTAGCTTAGCTGGGACTGGAAATGGGGGGAAACTGCTAGCCTGGCTCTGGAAAAGTAACAAAATCTGCCAACCAGCCCCCATAAAACTCACTGATCAATACATTAAACAAGGGTTTCAATTCTTATTGGAAATATAATTACAGATTTGTGACTTGTACATCAACATCTGAGTTGTGTTTAGGATGGGTAAACTCAGATTTCTCTGAACACAATGGTATATCTGACTCAATGGCTCCTAATTACATGGAAAATCAAACAGACATAGACACTTCATGTTAGCCAAAGTCAGCTCTTCAGTGTAATTTTACCTCCTCGGGAAACAGGCTACTTTTTCAAATTTCCACTTGAAAAAATACCACCAAATTTGGTCAGAAACAGCCTCACAGCTGTGACGGCAAAACCTTGGATCCTACGAGACACTTGAGAGAATTTTTGAAAGTCTCTCCGTGTTCCCATTAGGGATATTTGAAAAACTGATGATGCCAACCAGCTGCTCTCTGTAACTTCTCCTTTAAACATAAAATTACTTTCTATCTTCTTATCTAGATATTCAGAATATTAAACTACTGCTTTAACATATTAGCGCTATAAGCTTAAACGAATGTTAACATGTTGATGTGTGAAGCTTATGGTGGTACTTCTTTGCCTTTGACTGTAATATAATAAAACTGTGGCAATCCGGGATGATAGCTAAGTTCGATCTAAAAGACACTCATGATGAGGTAATTGTGAGAGCTGGTGGCGGCTAACATTTGTTCTTGTGTTTAGGTCGATGTCATAGATCATTTTCTTATCTTTTCAAGTTGGCCCACACATGTGAATTATAATTACACATCTTATCCATTCCCCACGTAAAAATAAAAAAGTCAGCATTTCATTGCCAGGAAATCAGCCATACACTGAGCTTGTTATCCTCTTTAACACACGCCATTGTAATTAAACCATTAAACCCTTGCCCTCAAGGATTTTCTGTGCTCAGGGAAGAAAGGCTATGACCAAGGTAATTATTACCTTCATTTCTGAGCAAAACATAACAGCAAATCATTGTATAAATAATTTAATCATCAGCTTAAGGAATGCTCAGCTCTTAGCAATAAATACACTTTGTTTTTTTTCTTATCTAGCCATACTGTCAGTGAGACACATGCACTAGCGACGGCTGGCATGGCTCACACCACTTGCCAAAAACTGTCTGATTCATTGTATGCAGGTGGGTGTCTGTCTCGGCCTAGAACTTCAAAGACTCCACGCATGCAGACATGAAAACCATATTGCTTGATGACACAGAAAAACCTGTCAGAGGCATTCAATCTCTCACTTGCTGCTATTGACTGTGTCGTAAAGTAAACTATGGATTCCCTCGCATAGCTCCGTATCAGCACGTACAAGTCGTGAACAAAGTGGGGAGGGAGTGGATCCAGGTATCAGTCTGAGGGCTGATGAAGAACACCGGGGCTCTGGCTTTGATCATCGCTGATGTGTGAGTGCCTCAAAGTGGCCTCGTCTGTCAGCAGGTGTGAGTGCACGCCTTTCCAGCACGGACCGCGAGAATGTGTAAGGTATTCTGTCTAAAGGTGAGAAACGTTACATCTTCTAGACACTGTTTATCCTCGTTGATGGGGCTCTAAATCACTCCACATTATTGAGGCTCAGGTCTTGAGAATGAGATGCATTGTGTCCGCAGGTATAAGGCGTTTCTGGATCTTTACTAAAGTAAAAGTGCCTTTACGCATGCTAATCTACTCCATTATAATTGAAAGTTTTACAGAAAGGAATGGTTCAGTATTTCAGTAAATATGCTTATTGGTGTTCTTGCAGAGAGGAGGTTCATATCACTCTCAATGGCTGTTGTAACTAGTTAGCTTAGCTTGACATAAGACAGGAAGCAGTCGTCCAACTGTCCAGCAGTATCAAAACAACCTACCAGCACCTGAAAAACTTAAAATAATTATCTATCCATCCATTATCATTTCTATAAATCC